GAGAGAGAGAGAGAGAGAGAGAGAGAGAGAGAGAGAGAGAGAGAGAGAGAGGGAGAGAGAGAGAGAGAAGGACGGACAGACAGATGGAAATGTCAGCCCTGGTTATTTCCTCTCACCAACACAGTGTAACGGAACGAAGTCGCATTTATCATAACTCAAAGACACAAACTCTCCTAAGAAAAAAGTGCGATCATTAAAGCCATCGTGTAGATACATGTTCTATTACAGAGGTGTGCAAATTTTAACGGGCGAGCCTCTTTCGATTATTGGAACACCGATTAGAGTCAGTCACCATCAAAGTAAGCAATCATGTCACAACTAGTTATGTTGCGATATGAATAATATAACAACAAGAGCCACGCACCTGACTGGACTGCAGGCCGATTGTTGCACACCCCTGTTCAACAACATCAGTTCTTTTTTTTGGGTCCGTCTCATAAGAATGTAATTTGTGAACTGCAAAATTTATGACGTTGGGACGTACGAAGGTGTGGAGGTGAGGGATGGGGGATGGAATGGGGGACTTGAGGGGGGGGCGTTGACCAAAACGGGGACAGGGTGTGGTAGGAGGTCATTCTTGCCATAGGAAAAATCCCCTTGATATTGTCGACTTTACTGCGGTCTAGGATTATTGTCGTTCCTACAATCCCTCTCATACTCATTGCCTCTTTTCTCTTCTTTTATTTCTTTAGTTTATAGCGCTATGGAATAGAAACTGCTGCTTTGAAGTGGATCTAGTTCTCTGGAGTGAGAGATGAGAATTATCGGACTGACGTTAGTTCTCTTCTTCAAGGACCGCTCATGTCATTGTCTTCCCAAGCTGATTTTACTTCTTTTGCTGAGAAAAAAAAGGTTCAACCTCAAACTCAACCTTGCACCTGTCTATTCAAAGTGTAGGTCTTCTATTTAATGACAAAGCACCTGTTTGAGGGCAAGGCAACGGTCTGAGAGATGAAATATTCGAACGAAGGACAAGAAAAGTGTTTGGAATCTATCGACCCACCCCACCACACCTAATCCCCTGCCCAATGCTCCTATAGGCCAAATATGCAAGTGACCTGCACCGTAGATGCCGTCTTAATATTCTTTATCAACTCATCAAAATTGGGTGCTTTGACAGATCTTTTGATCTGTGATCTTCTTTTTTGAGATTCTATTTATTTATTTATTAATTTTTGAAAGAGAGAGAGAGAGAGAGAGAGAGAGAGAGAGAGAGAGAGAGAGATTTATATTTAAATGCTTACTTTTGTTTTGTTTTCTTCAGGCTGAAAAAGAAGAACAGCGCCTACTTGGATAAACGACACCTCAAAAAGATACTTTATGATCGTTGATTTTTACAGAAAGCAGTGTTCTGGACAGTGAGATAACACTGAAGAAACAAAATCTCTAAAGAGAAAAATCTAAAAAAAGACAAATAAGCTTTTCATACTCTTATTATTATAAACATATGCATTTAGTATATCACAAATTATATGATAAAGTGGTTGCCGACGTGTCTTGGCACAATTTTTTAAAACTTTTCTTCAGCAATCAATATCCATAGTTTCATATCATGTGCCATGAACGTAGACTTGATCCCTGGGTTGACGTGGTGTAAACATTACAATGGTGTGTGAGATTGTGAGTGAAAATTAACTTCAGTTAGGAAAGGGTTAGGCTTTGAGAACAGCAACATGGCCAGCCACACAGGCTCGGAGGCTCCCCCTGGCGTCCCGATACAAGACTACACAAGACCCTGGCTACCTCCCCCTGGGGAACAGCCACAAGACTCTCCATTGACGGCTTTCCCACATACTGGAGTAGCAGATCTGTCCCAACAACAGCAACATCTCATGTTCTCCTCATACCCACTGGGTCTGGTCCAAGGTCAGAGCTCAGGTCAGTACCAGAGCCAGCCCGTTTTATTTCCGGGTCAGCTCGTACCACCTCCTCCTTTGCTTTCTCCCACTGGTCAGCCTTTGGTGAGTCTCCAGGGCTCGACCCCGGCCTTAGGCGTTGCAGGTCAACCGCCCTCGTCCCTCTCGTTGTTCTCCTCAAACCACGAAAGTAACCCCGAGCTGGGGAACATGACAAATGTTATAGCAGCACAGCAACTTTCAAACCCACTGTCTCCTTTAGACGCATCTTGTTTCTCGCCCATGTTTCCGCTGCAGAATCTTGTTTCGCAACAATTTCCTGTTGGGACCAATCTTCAGTCTATCGATCAAACTCAGACTGGGGGCCAAGGACAGTATACTTTGGCACAGCACCAGACTCTTCAACTGCAAACTCAACTTCAACCAAACCTACTGTCCCAGGGCTCGGCTTTGGGATACCCGGGGCCCAGTAGCTACGCAGGAGGACATCTCCAGAATCACGACGAATATGGCTCAGTGGCGCAGAACAATCGCGCACCTCAGCAACCTCTGACGCAGCAGCAGCAGCAGCAGCAGCACCGACAACAGGTACAACAAGATCTACAGCAGCACCAACAGCAGCCACAACTGCCCAACGTGGGATCTCAGGTACGACCCACCGAGACTGTCATGCAACGGATCACGCGTCAAATGACTGACTCAAATGGTAAAGTTAAAAGCGATACTTCTGCCGGTTTGTCGTACGACGAACCAGACTACTCCCCACAACGACCAGCCCCGCCCAGTACGTACCTGCCGGATCCAATCCACCCCCACAGAAACACGCTCCCTTATTCCTTACCCACGTCTCTCAATCCGTCGTTAATGCTGAAGACAGACGTGCCAAACACCGTGGTGACGGTACAAGGCATAACTAGACAAGATGTTCAGAACCTCCAGCAGCCGCTGTCGCCAGAGGCATCATGGGAGGGAGCAAAGACAGACAGTCTAGACGAGCAGACGACTTCCGGGCGAGGTTCCTCTATTTCCTCTTCGATGTCTCCGCCTGGCTCCTCTCCCACATCTCCTCGTCTGGGTCGTGGAGATAGCCAGTGGGCAAATCACACGGTAAGTCTAATAATGATTTATTATGCATTTTACACCCTCCACGATACATTTACGGTATTCAATCTTTTACTGCAACCCAGAGAGAGAGAGAGAGAGAGAGAGAGAGAGAGAGAGAGAGAGAGAGAGAGAGAGAGAGAGAGAGTA